ATATAGAAAAACAATTTGACTTTTCTCAATAGTCCATTTAAGTATATGTAGATTCTTCTGTAGTATGAACTTTTGGGACATGTGTGGATAATTGTGAGATTCTCTTATGTTTTTAATTTTTCCATCTGAAACCGAAAACCATGATCCTTCTTCACCTTAGTTATCAGTTAATGGCTATGGTTAGATAAAAGAACTTTAGATCAATAATGCAAAAAAAGAGATTACTCAGAAGATTTATTAGTAAACGTAGAAAAGTTAGATGTGTCTTTATAATAATAGTTTAAAATATTAATGATAATAGCATTATCAAGTAGCATGGAGCTATTTATTTTAACTACCGTTGAAAGTATTGATGATAATAACATTATTATTAAGTGGTATGGGGCTATTTAACTATCTCTTTGATGTGGTTGAAACAAACTCTAAGATGAAAGCTAATAACTGCCCATTTCTTTGTTCTCGTCCCCAGTTGATCGCAGCTACTTACAGTTCCTTTTGAGAGATACCTGAAAAGATATGTTTGAAAATGTCTTCTTTGAGCAGTCCAAATTTTCATATGCTGTATAAGTCTTTGTGTGCTCGCTCTCTCTCTCTCTCTCTCTCTCTCTCTTTCTGTTTAATGAATGTTAAAATCACAATGAATGTTTTGGTCATTTCAAGACCATGAAAAATATTCATGTATTAAGCTGAATATTTTTCAGATATGGGTTTTTATCAAAGAGAAATAACACGTTTTTAAAGCTAAACAATCAAATATAGATATGCTGAGTAACAAGAAACCAGCAAATACTTCTTTGCTTACATCTGTTACATCATGTGAGTATTAGACATGCACTTGTACTACTTTACCCTTCCCTGCTTTGAAGTTTAAAATATTTTGCATAAATCATTTTTGGTAAATAACTATCTCAAAATATAAGCTTCAACACACTTCGGTGACACTCCAGGAAACACTTTGGAACCTCTTTAAGAATATTGTCAGAAGTTGAGAGGGATTTGTTTCAGGCATGACATAAAATATAAAAATTGAATTGCTAACACAAACTTAAGACCAAAACATCATATAACCTCTCTGTGTTTTGGACCCATCATGTCTGTCTATTTGGATAAAAACTATTGGATGCACATTTTTTGGTGAGCTGTCAACAGTGAAGCATGAAAACAGATGTGTTTCTGCTATTTTCATTATTAGGGAAATAAAAGCAGCTGTGCTGGGCTTGTGTGTGAAGAAAGCTCTCAGCAAGGCCTTCACACTCAAAGCTGGAAAACCTGGCAGTGTAGACCAGGATTTACATCATGAACGTCTTCAAACAAGGCCACTGGGGACAAATGCTGGGTGTTATTGAGGATTTCACTCCTGTCTGGAGTTGTTGGTTCAGTTTTTCTGATATCAAAGCTTTGTGTGAGAATATATGCTAAAGCTAGGTAAAGTCATCATGGCCTTAATTTGCATAAGGCAATATGAAAGATTATTTCAGAACTGCACTTTGTCAGAATTTGTGACTCTGTCACTTTAAAAAGTGAATGTTGCTTATTATATTTGTGTTGGGGGATGGTGGGTGAGAGGTGCAAACTGATGAAAGTGGTTTGATACAGTTCTGCTAAGACTATCTAGACAAAGAAGATCAAATATGTGTTTTCTAGGCACAGTACACACAATGGGGGAAAATGCAGCATATTTGGGGAAAGAAAAATAAATCAAAGTATAAAAACAGAGTCTTCTTTTATGCACTTGCAGATCTGACAATAACCAGATGCTAAGGTTTTTTTTTGCATCAAATTGGTCTCTTTTTTTGTCCAGAAGGGCTATTTTGGGTTCAGTTTGGAAAATCTGTCACAGAAGTTTACTTGTCTCAAGCTTTTGCTTCCTTCTGTAGGTGTCTGCTGTTTGTGTTTGTGTGTGGAAAGAGGGATAGGGAGGAGATTCTGTGTGTGCATTTGTATGTTTATGCATAAGGCTACTTATATATGTGTGTATTGGTCCATTCTCATGCTGCTAACAACAACATACCTGACACTGGGTAATTTATAAAGAAAAGAGGTTTAATTGACTTACACTTCCGAATGGCAGGGAGATCTCAGGAAACTTACAATCATGGTAGAAGGGGAACGAAATACATCTCCACATAGCAGCAGCAAGAAGAGCCGAGCAAAAGGGGAAAAGCCCCTTATACATTCATCAGATCTCCTGAGAACTCACTCACTATCATGAGAATAGCATGAGGGTAACTGCCCCCATGATTCAATTCCCTCCAACCAGGTCCCTCCCACAACACATGGGGATTATGGGAACTACAATTCAAGATCAGATTTGGGTGGGGACATAGCCAAACCACATCAATGTGGCTATGTGCTTTTCCTGCCTTTACGTAGAACAGAAGTTATCTCTTAGCAAAGAGAACAGAGACAAAAATGAGAGAATAATGAAACTGGATTTCTCTATATTGATCTGAAGCTTGAAGTGATGTTATACTAATGACAGAATTTAAAAAGATTAAAGTAAAGAGACTGATAAAAGGGAACAGTGACATATTTCACTCTGTGAAATTATATAAGTACTGCATTTATTTATAGTATCTTGAGAAATTTTCCCAAGGGGAGAAATGTAAAAGGACTACAGATAATCAAAAAAAGTACTAAACTTAAGAGTATAGGTTTTGCTTTAAAATATAGATACTATGCTTTCTTTAGGTAACTATGATAATAGCTCACCACTGTAGCTTTAATTAGAATCTCCAAGTGTGATATAGCTACAGGTGTTCTGATAAGAAATGAAACTCTGTGGTGTTTTCATATTCATTTTTACAAACTGCTTGTGTGCAATAATTTACTAAAAGCTTTTGATTTTCTCTTTCTCTCATCATACATATTTTTTTTTTTTTTTTTGAGACAGGGTCTCACACTTTTGTCCATCCTGGAGTGCAGAGGCATGAACTTGGTTCACTGAAGTCTCTTAACTCCTGGGTTCAAGGGATCCTCCTGCCTCAGCCTTTGAGTAGCTACAATAGTTCACCGCTGCACCTGGATAATCATACATATATTTTTTTGGTAGGGTCTCTGTATGTTTTCCAGGCTGGTCTCAAACTTCTGGCCTCAAGCAATTAATTCTCCCACCTCAACTTACCAAAGTGCTGGGATTATAGGTGTGAACCACCTGCACTGGGTCATAAATTTTAAAAGGTTGTTTATTGAAGCAATTTTAAGAGGAGAGTAAGGAAGAAGAGCAAATTTAGGTACAGATTTCAAAAGTCTTGGCATGAGCTCTAAAACTTCTGCCCACACAAGAAATTGTAGAGAGCTACTTAGAGTCTTTTTTTCCCAGGTGAATATTTCTGATGCTACAAATTTAGTTCAAATATTAATTTTTATTTTCATAACATTCCCATTATCTCCTTTTTCAGTCTCTCTCTCTCTCTTCCCTGTTATATCTGGCTTTAAAATTATATTACTACTAGCTTATTCTTGACTAAGCTTAGAACAACCTAGTGTGAGAAAATGGTTTAAACATTGTAGTTATGGAATGGTTATTAGTAATGCTGGTTCAAACATGCTGCTTATCTAATCAACTCTCAAAGAAGAGTTTTTAAAAATTTTAACACAAATTTTGTCACATTTTATTGATTCATACTATGATTCTCAAAAAATGACTATCTCTAGGTTTTCCCTACTGAGTATTTTGGACTTGTATATTGAATGAAAACTCAGGGAACATCACTCTGTAAGAGCAGGAGGTGAAGGCAGATGCCGGGGGAGGGAAAGAAAGTAGCAGCCTCAGGCTTTACATTCTCCAAGGAGCACCCCGCAGAAATATAAATGCCCACCAAACCCGCAGCAAGGCCGTCTGGAAGTAACTTCTAAGTTTGTGTCTCACTCTCTCACATTCCTACCTTCTCATAGGACATTCACTCTTTTTTTGTTTGAAATCTACAATGTTGGGATTAACCTAAACTTTGTATTGGTGTTCAAACCTACTGCTAAATTCAGTTTAACCTATTGCAATCTGGGCTCTTTCCCTTGCCCTCAGAGTAATTCTCTTATACCACCCCATTCTCATCCTACCTCTCTGACTTCTCTTCTTGGTTTCATGAGGGGCTTCTTTTTTTCTGTCTTCTAAACTTTTGATGATTTTTGTTTTAATAGCACATACTTTATCTGAAAGATGACATTGTATTTCAGGGTTTTATCTATGGCCTGTTAAAGATTTCTCCAGTATAGACGTCTCTTGGGAAAAAAAAAAAAAAACATATTTATCTCTTTTGAATATCTATGCCTGAAATTCAGTCTCTTTCATCTCAGCCTCCTCAATCAGCCTCCCTTCCCTGCTCCTTCTCCTATGACCTTCTATACAACCCTTTCTCTTACATCATTCACTGCTGAATGTTTACCAAATCATACAGATGTTCTTTTAAGAATATTCCGTGATCCTCATATCACCCAGAAAAAATCAAAAGGTCTCCTCCCAGAATGTGGCTTTGTTGGGTAATGAGTGTTTTAAATTAAAAACCCTTAGAGATCAACAGGCTTTGGAAGAGACTTTTTCCCCCATCTACATAAAGATAGGACCCATCAAGGAGAACATTTCGTCTTGTTCCCCTCCCCATGTTATCTTATTATCCGTTATAAAAAAGAAGATCAACAAAATGTGACTACACCTGGACAGACACTTTTTCAAGATAATGACTGTCTTCTAGGAACATTTTAATTCCAAATTAAATGACAGAGAACTATTTTTACAAGTTAGTTTCTGTTGTCCACCCAATCTTTTTCTCCAGTAATTATTTATTGTTCCTCAATAGAATTTCTCTTCTTCCCCCTTCCATAACCTGTTTTACCAGGTGGGATCCAAGCTCCATTCTTTCTGTAACCTCCAGATGGTATATAAGCTCATGTACCACATTTGGAAAGTTAGGTCTTCATTCTAAAGGCTCCCCTGTGTACATGTTAAATAAGTTGTGTGCCTTTTCTACTATTAATCTGCATTTTGCAAGCTGATTTTTTTCTTTTTTTGAAATAAAATATTTATTTCAGATAAAATTAGTATTTCCATAATTAAGATAAACACATTCTTATCTTCAGTCCATTATTTAAGGTGATTAATGCTATAAAATGACTTCCATGCATATTATTAGATTTCCTGAATGTCATTTGAATATCAGCCTACATGCTTGTGGGAAGCTTCTGCAGCCTTTTCTGTGCAGGAATTCCAGTTCTTCTGAATTCTTCCCTTTCCTTCAGGTATTCCATTTTGCATTCTTCATAAAAGGCTGGATCAGTATAGTAAGCAGTTAGGCATTCTTTCAATGCAGAGTTTTCTTTCCGACATTTTATTACCATAAGAAGTCCAGAGTCCTTGCAACATTTGGTAAAATCTTGAATTTGTTCGGAACACCTCTCTCTGGCCTTTTCTCTCATTTTTTTAGGGATCAAAACATCTGTTTTGACATGTCTGAGATGCTGGTCTGCGGGGTCAAGCGCCATCTCGGTGGGCGGAGAAGAAGGCAGCCGCTTAGCGGCTCCGAGGGCAAGCGGGGAGGGCCAAGCTGATTTTTTTCTAGGGAAACTTCTGAGGGCCAACGGGAAAGCTGGACTTAACATGCTTCTGTTATCATTTCTTGCCTGGATTACTATGATAACCTTCTAGCTGGTCTCACTGTCTAAAAATATTCATTCCTTAAGCCCATGCTTCACATCACTATCAGAGTGGGCCATCAAAAATCCATTTTAGTACCATCCTATTCAAACCATAAAATTGCTCTACTTGACTAAGTATATAAATTTTCTATTAATTAGACACTTCTACATTTCAGTCCTACTCCTCATCCCAGTTTGGTGCCACGGCTTCCTTTTGCACTTTATTTCTCTTACCTTCATCCCCTTGTTCCTGCTGTTTCCTCTGACTGAATCATCCTTCCCTCCTATCTTCATCTAACTTTTGCTCACTCATCAATGTATCAACTCCTTCACAATGCCTTCCCGACTGCCCTTCAGACTGTCACCTGGAGGGATAAGATTTCCTCCAGTGGTTTGGGCCTCATGATTGAAACAACTGCTTCTGCACCTAAAACTGAAGCAGTGATACAGAGTGGCACTGAATGGGTGGTAATAAGCAGGCAATAAGGCTGTAGCCCCCAAGCTTCTATATTTTTCTAGAAAATTGGAAAACAGCCAAGTGGCAAAGGTTAAATTAAGGGCAATGCTTCTTTATTCAAGGCAAATATTTTAAACAGGTAGCATCCATTATATGGAGAAAGTTTAGCGTGGTAAGTTGAGAGGGTTGGGGCAGGGGTGGGTGGTGAGGTGTGTAGAAGAGAGAAGACAGTAAATAAAAAGAAGGAGTGATTTCAGGTTTAAAATTGTGTCCAAAGCTTTGGCTACGATTACTCCCAGACAGAACTGAGTAAGAACAAAAACATGGAAGCCTATTAAGCTTTTGAAGACATTGTATTGTCAAAGAATCCACATGTTACGCTTACAAAGACTTACTATTATTCAAGTCCTACATCAGATAATTCTGTAAACTAGATTGCAAAGCTGAGCAGCCATCAAACATACTTTCTTTCTTTCTTTCTTCTTTCTTTCTCTCTCTTCCTTTCTTTTGTTCTTTGATTCATTCGTTCTTTTAGATGGAGTTTTGCCCTTGTTACCCAGGCTGGAGTGCGATGGCATGATCTTGGCTTACCACAACCTCTTCCTTCTGGGTTTAAGTAATTCTCCTGCCTCAGCTTCTAGAGTAGCTGGGCTCATGGGCATGAACCACCATGCGCAGCTAATTTTGTATTTTTTGTAGAGATGGGGTTTCTCCATGTTGGTTTCTCCAGTTTGGTCTCAAACTCCCGACCTCAGGTGATCTGCCTGCCTTGGCCTTCCAAAGTGCTAGAATTAAAGGCAACATACATACTACTTTCAACATGTCCAGAGAGAATGAAAGATAGACTTGAAAGGAATTTCCAAGAGGCCAAAGCCATGAGGTCATGGAGGATAGGGTGCTGGAGAGCTCCTCACAGAGTTAAAAATCAGGGACAATCAGACTGGTTCTATAAGAAACTTAGTCTAAGGTAAGGAATCATTACAGTTGATACCCAACAGCCCTTGATAATCACTATAAACAGATGACTGACATTTCTCATTTTTCCCTATTTAAAACAGATGTTATGACAGCTCTCCTAGTCTTGATCCACCATTGTAAACTTAGTGTGCGTGTATTGGTGGGGCAGGGGCAGGGGGTAGGAACATACTTGTCTTTCATTTCATGGGTTTCCAAGTGCTAAATGGGACTTAGAAGGGCTTTTATATATTCCTTATATGATACTTAGGTAAGCAAAAGAATGGATTGTGGGAAAGATAATTCTCTTCTTATCCATGGTAATGAAATTTTACCTTTTACAAGGCCATCCAAAATAAAAAGTACATTTCTAGCTTTTTGCAGCTGGTTGATTGTGTTTATATGACTTGGTTCTGGCGTTTAGAACAAAAATAGTATGTGCTTCTAGGTTTTTCTCTTAAAAGGATATCCTTCTGTTGCTTCCTTTTCCTTCCCCAGTTGTGGGAAGGTAAGGTCTGGGCATCAATTGCAAGACGGAAGCCACATGTTGTGAAGGTTGGAGCACTGATATAGATGAAGACTTTATCCCTGAGGCTTGTGGAACTATCATACAAGCCAAATGACTTGTTTTAAGATTTGGAGACCTTCTTTATCCCATCATCAACCCCATATCATAACTACTATACATTAAATAAATATAAAAAGTATTCAAATAAGCCAACATAATTAATTCAACTTTATTATTAAACCATGTGTTCATTTGGAGAGTTTTGTGATTTTTGCTTTTTCAAAAGCAATTCCAAACTTCCTCTAAAATCTGCAAAAGCAAAGTCATACATGTGTACACAGTTATTTTTCCTTTCACTCACCCTCAATTTGCTTGAGGGGTAGAGTGAAATATGGACTGGAAGTAGGGCACCATTGGTGGACAGATGAAAATGAGATAATCACATTTTATACTCTTTTGCTATGTATTTTTGGCTCCTTTGAGTTGAAATGGTAGATACTTATATTATTGCGTGTTTTTGTTAAATACTAACTTATAGTGGCCCGAACCATCAAGAGCTGAATTGCAAATGGACACAAAAATGATGAAAAGCAAACTTAATTTGAGAAATTTAGGGAAAGGATAGGAGTAAGCACATTTATGAGAGAGCTGAGACATTGAAGGCCAGGGATTTCCTTGGTCCTGGAAATAGAGAGAGTTCTAAAGGTCAATCCATTTGAGCTTGGTGAATATATTGCTAGGGAATTAGATATTTCTCTTCTCCCTGTCTGTGTCCTCTCCTTCCTTGGCCTGAGAGATTATCTTGAATTATAAGGATGGGCTGTTAATGCCATCAAATGTTTGTTATAAGACAGAGGCGTGGCCGGGTATGGTGGCTCACACCTGTAATCCTAGCACTTTGGGAGGCTGAGGCAGGTAGATCACTTAAAGTTAGGAGTTCAAGACCAGCCTGGCCAACATGGTGAAACCTCAACTCTTTTAAAAATACAAAAATTAGCTGGGAATGGTGGTGCATGCCTATAATCCCAGCTACTCTGGAGGCTGAGGCAGGAGAATCTCTTGAACCCAGGAGGCAGATGTTACGGTGAGCTGAGATCGCGCCACTACACTCCAGCCTATGTGACAGAATGAGACTCTGTCTCAACAAAAAAAAAAAAAAAAAAAAAGAGAGAGAGGTAGAGGGAGATTTGACACATATGAAAGAGGATGTAAACACAGAAGCGGAGGTTGAAGGGACGCAGACACAAGCCATGGAATGCCAAAGAATGCTAGCAGCCATCAGAAGCTGGAAGACGCAAGGAATGGATTTTTCCTCAGAACCTCTATACAGAAGGTGGCCTTGCCCACACCTGATTTTGGATGTCTGGCTTCCAGGGCTGTAACAGAATACTTTCCTGTTGTTTTTAGCCACCAAGATTGTAGTAATTTTTTTATTTTTTACAGCAACTACAGGATATTAATACAGTGGGCAAGTTATAACTAGATAACATACTGAATTGTCTTCTTTTAAATAAGTGTACACATCAAAGTTACTCATTAATTCATTCATTTTATCTGTAAGTAGAGTTCTTTTCTGTGATTGAATGTGGGTAGGCACAGGTGTGTAAGTGTAGTCATGCTGACATTGCCCTTTCAGTATTTAAATAGACAGAGTGATTCTATGGCAATCATTCTTACATGCCTCATTCTTTCTTGTTCTTTATGCCTTCAGTTTTTCTAACCTGTTTTTGTCAAAAAAAAAAAAGTTATGAGTAAGCTCATTACTTAAAGTAGTTCTATCTATTACTCCTGCTCTTTGCTGATACATGTAAATAAAATTATTATTTTGCCTGGCCTGGCAGTAGGATAGACATCTAATGGATGCAACACTTTATAATGTGTTTTATTTTTCTAAGCATGGCATAGGACTTTCTTAGGGTCATATCCATGATGAATAGACTGCATGTTTTCAAAAAGTAAACAGCTAAGATTTAGAAGTCAGCAAGTTGGTCTACAGACAAAGTCAGTCAAAGTCTTTGCTGTATTAAGCCTATGCTCTAAGGGGGAAGACATACTGGGGAAGAGAGTGTTGGATAATATTTGACAAATGTTAAATTACTGTGTTTGTATCCCCCTCCCCAATAAACCATGTTTCATCGCAGTGATTCTCTTGGGGTTGCGCATCAAAACGATGTATTGACAAATGCTTCTTTAGGAAGAAGGAAGACATAGACATAGTGAAAGTCCATGTCAGAAAGCAGGCAGCCAGAGCACTCCCTTCTTTCAGTGGCTTATAGGCAGAAAAAGAGAAAGAAAACATAAGATATCACAGGGAGGAAAATAGTCAGACATGTGGTTTTAATGAGGAATGTGCCATTTAAGGAAAACCAAGGGAACAAGTGTTTTGGCCCAGCCACCCATTAGGTCTCATGGGAGCCCATGAACAGAGTGGCCACACAAAACGAAATGGCCCACATCAGGTAAGAGGTGGATTGGCATACACACACCGAGTCAGAGTTCTGTTTTTCCTCCTGAAACTCCCTTAAGTATGGTGTAATGTGAATGCTGAGTTGACAGCTCGGTCCCTGGCCAAGCCAAGTACACTCAACCACAAGCTCATGCGATATAGATGTCAGCAGCAGACACTAGCCAAAAGCCCAAGGGTGGGACTGAGCCAACCACAGCTCACTGGATCCCAGCCAAGTACACAAACAAGGCAGCACATGGGTCATGGAGCAGTCTACCTGGGTACAATTATTGTCTCTGTAGTAATTTGCATTAAAAAATTTCCTCTCTCTGCCTCAGTTTCTCCAACTGAAAATCAGGTTACTAAAGGTACAGATGCTCTTCGACTTACAATGAAATTACATCCAATAAACGCAGAGTAAATTGAAAATATCATAAGTTAAAAGTACATTTAATAAGCTGGGCACGTTGGCTCATGCCTGTAACCCCAGCACTTTGGGAGGCTGGGGTTGGCCATTACTTGAGGTTAGGAGTTT